GGATATTGTACATATGAGTATCTCTTGTATGTACCCAAAGTGGTAAAGGGTATCATATAGTCGGCCCCGTCCGACTTTTGAACTTTCCTTACTGTTTTTTTTTTCTTGTCTTCCTCCACTGTGTGTACAAATTATTTCCTTAGTAAAAAGGGTTATTAAAAATTATTCTGAAGTTTTTTCTCATTCCCTTTGTCATTTATTTCAAGTGAATGATTGACATTTTATGTGATACAAAAAAAAAAATCTGAAGCACCATTTCAAATCGATTGATTTTTCGATTTTTATTAGATATGCTACTGTTTGTTGTTGTTCTATTTTTTTAATTGAACATAGATAAGATTTGATTTTTTGCTGTTCTTGTTGTTGTTTAATGAACAATAATTGCTCTTCAAAATGCTCGTGGTAATAATTGAATTGGCTTCTTCTTAAATGGAATTGACATTGTCGTTTTTGTGTAGAGAAGCATATCTTTGGACGGCGTAGTCTTCTAATTCAAGTTCTCGAAAATCATCTTGACCAGCTTGGAATTTTTTGGCTATTTGACAAATTTTATTTAAGTGTGGGCCTCGTGAGGTTACAATTGATTAAGAAAATTTGCATTAAATTGTTTCTGATTGATTTCAATTAAATTAGTTTCCTGGGAAATTTATTATTAAGGGGATCGAAATAGCGTTGACATATATATTAAGGAAATACGGACAAAATTACAGTTATTTATTTAAAAACTTTTTTTGGGATTGAAATCCAATTTATTCTTAAGTTTTTTTTTTTTTTTTGATTTTTTATTTCAAACATTTCAACCCACAACGTAAATATGCCATTAAATTGATAATTGCAATTATGTATTATTCTTTTTTTCCTAGTAATTATCAACCCCATGACCACCCGAATGAAAAGTGTATCAATTTCTAACACCTGCAATTACGATAATTTCCACCAAACTTTTTATAAACCCTATTCAAAGAAAATTGTCTTAACAATAAAAACAATTTATATACGGTGGCTATAAGTAACGAGGAATGATTTATAACTTGATAAAATTGACAATGCAATGAGATAGCATTTTTCTATACAAATATACTTGTAGGAATATACGCATGTATTCTAGAGAAATTCGAATCGAGACATGTCTTTCATATGTATGTTTGTAACTTACGAAGCTATTGAATTACCTTATCCGTGTCGGGTAAATATATTTACTTATAGCAGTAGTCGGTATTATATAGCGTACACAATTACATCTATAAAAAAATATCCGTCCTATACCCTCCTACTGATCGGTATTTTGAAGATTTCAAAAATGTTTTTCAACTAAGTTGAATCTACTTTGATATTTTTTGAGTCCACATTGGGTGGCAAATGTTCGCACCCTGTTTCTACATAGCTATCGTACAATACACACAATTTTTCGGAATGTTCCAGAACCTAGCCCAACTTTAAAAACCTGTGTGTGCGTTTTCTGATATTTAGGTTTCTTCTGGCAGCAATTTATCAGATTATAGCCCTCATATAAAATCTTGAACGGTTCTTATATTTAGGTTTCCCCTGGCAGAAATTTCTCATGCCATAGCCCCCATATAAAATCTATATCGGTTTTTGGAATTTTGAATGTCCATGTCGATTTTAGTTGTTATTAAAAAAATCAGTCTAAATACCCAAGAATATTTGCCGACCACTGTACTAGGAGTAATTTAATGATTTTATTTATGATAGATTATAAATACCAATCTAAGGAAGACAATGCCAGTAATAATAACAACAAAATGAGCGACAATCACCCACGGCACATTGCGAAAGATAAGGAAGGTTATTGCCGACAATTACAATGGCATTAAATGATTGTGATTTTTTTTATGGACCGAACGGGACAGGGATGGGTGGTAGATTTTTGTGAGATTTACAACATTCAAAGCAGAATGAAAAATACATAGGTACGAATATACAATGTCAATTAGTTCTCTCATAGATGGCCATAGGTTCCCAATAAGTTTTCATATACATGCGTAAGGGGTATTTTCATAGAAGACCAATAAATTTTCATATAGTTGACCAAAAGATCATTCAATATAAGACTGAGATGTCTTCTCATAGAAGATCAAAAATATATACCAGTTAAAGTAAGATATCTTCTCGTAGAAAACCATCGACGAACCAGACAGAACATTAAAATCTCTTTTCATATAAGAGCAAGGAGTCTTCGCATATAAGACAAAGAGGTTTTCTCAAAGAAGTTCTTCTCATCTTATAGAAGCTCAAGAGATTCTTACCTTTATTCTCCCCACGAAAAATCTCCATGAGGTCCTCTCATAGAAGACCAAAAGGACTTCACAAAGAAGATCTATATGAGGTCTTATAGTAGGTCTTCTCATAAAATACTAAAAGGTCTTACTATAGAAGACTAAATGGTCTTCTCATAAAAGGCCATAAGATTTTGTCATAGAATGCCATAAGGTCTTTCCATAGAGAATGAAGATGTATTCTTATAGAAGATCGTATCATAGTATAAGTTCTTTACCATAGATGACCAAGAGGTTTTTCATTTTTATATAATATGAACCTACAACTTCTCAAAAATGTCTCATTTCAAGTGAAAGACCAAATAAAATAGTATACCCATAGAATACAAAGGAGTCTCCTCATGGCAAATTAAGGAGACTTCTTACAGAAGATTAAGAGGCCATCTCATTCAAGAGCAACATGTCCTGCCATAGTGATCCATCGATCATAGTATACCAAAAAGTCGTTTCTATGAAGACCTCATGGCATAATTATACAAGATAGTCTCATGATGTTTCCATTTTTTTCATAAATTTGCCTCTTAAGCATTCAGCTTTCAATGCTGTCAATGAAAAGGAAAGCTAGAGATACTACATTCCCAACATTATGCGACGCGTTTCGCCGTTGGTTAAACGGCTCATCAGGCATATTGGGCAATGTGGCTTACAAATGTCGTTACTTGATATGTTGTATTTATGTCAAATATTGTTGCGAAATTGCATCTACGAATTAAATTCAACCGTGTCAAGGTTCGGACATTTGGCATCACACCAGAACATTTCTTTTCAGAGAAATTTTTTCTTGTAGTGACGGACATTTTTCCATACAGACTACAATATTTTTCTTCAATGGTATACAACAGCATATTGTGGAACCTTAGGAAGATAAGGAGGTGGCTTTGAACGCTAAGGCGCCGAACAACAATCAACAAATGCCATGGGAACCAGGGTCCAAATCCCAGCCGGTCTCAAGCTGATTTTTTTTAGGGCGAAGGATCATTCGTGTAAATGTTTTTATTAATTTCTCTTTCAAGATGAGCTACATGATCGAACTTGCAATGAAAAGGAAAGCCAGAGAGATACTACATTCCCACTATTCATTTAATTTTTAAGTGACATATGAATTCTATATTAAAAAGGATTGCCATTATAAATTTCTTAAATAAGACTACCTTCCATAATTATGCCATAGAAGACCTGAAGATCTGCCCAAACAAGACCAGATCATAAATAGGCATTTGTTTTGGAATAAATCTCCTCTTTGTTTCATACCTTATTGGGTTTAGTACAACTTCACAATATTTGTTCACCTCAAAAAGTTATGTCAAAAATGTATGTGTATAATTTCTGACAGATCATCTCCAACGAATATTTATTTTCTTTGCAAATTAGAACTATAAATGAAATTGTCAACGGTAGTTTGATGAGAGTAAATAAAAATAAAAAAAAACTAGAAAATAACTTGACTATAATCGCATGATTTCAATTGCATGCGTGTGCGCTCGCGGTATAGTCAGTTAAGGTGACTTTTTATGATTGGAGCTTGTTAACACATTGGTGCACACTCGCACACACATACTCATTCTCATATGCACATACGTCTTCTTTAAATATAAAGCGGAATAATGGAGATTAGATGAAGGTCATAAAATGACAAGTAACGTAAGTTACGTTGACCCATTTGTGATAAATGCATTATATCGTAATTGAGAGAAATTACACAATCGAAGAGAACATTAATGAATGAGAATAATAAAAAATGTTGTAATCTATTTATATAATAATAAAATTGATAGGGGAAATTTACAGTGGAACTTATAGAACTGTAATCAAATTTAGAAATCGAAATTAGAAATCGAATTCGAAATTGTTTGTTAGATATACAATTTGAACCACAAACTTGATTTATTTCAAATCAGAAAGTGATATAAGTTCCGTTCCAGAACCTAAAACAAATCTACTAATTTTTGCAAGTTTTGCAATTTTATACTCGAAACCCGTTCCTGAACCCACAAAACTGGTAAAGCGTTGAACCAAATTTAAGAGAACACAAAACAAAATGGCGTTCTCTTTGTAAACTTTTTAGTAGAAAAATTTGTACAAGTAAAAATGGTAAATAAAAATGCCATCTTCCGAGTACTGGAACAGATAAATTATAAATATTTATTTGTATTTTGTGTGTAATTTTCTGGTGCCCATATTTCCCAACATTTATTTTTTAATTTGTGTGTTTTGGCAAAATAGTTTATGAAAAAATATCCAGGGGGAATCAAGGTTAACAGAGGCATGTTAATAATAAAAACGCCAATACGCGAAAATGTGTGAATTAAATGTAAATAAAATTAGAGGCCTGCACTCAAAATATGTATTTTCATTTTATAAGCTTAAGATATAGCAACAAAAATGTTTAATATTGTTCTCTCTGTTGTTATGATATCGTAACAACAGAGAAAAAAGCCATCTGTTGGAAATCGCTTACGTATCAATTGTCCTATATTTATACTTTTATGTCTTTGGTTTTTTTCCTTGACTTGTAAAATGTTAATGCCGTTGTTAACATTCAATTGTAATTAATTCAAATAAAAAAAATGTCACACTTCCAGTGTAACAATATGGAACACCTGGTTTGCTTTATTTTTTAAAAATAATGAACTTTTAAATAATATAAAAATAAATTATGCAAATATATTTTAACAGTATTCTCACCGCAATAATATGAATCAGTGTAATGGAAATGTGTATTTTAGATTTGAAAAGGGGGGAAATTGATTTTCAATGATTTCGAATCGAACAAATTATAAAAAATAAAAACCTTATATCATTCACCATGAGTTGGACATTTAAAATATCCAAAGCACTGCAACGGAAAATGTAGCTCATGGTCTGGGAGTGGAAAATTTCTAATGGGAATGAAAGCACTTGGTGACTATCGTAAGAAGCGAGAAGAACAAATTCGACATAGGTATGGCATAATTGGGTATTTTTACGGAAAATATTTCAGATAAATTCGACAGCACATCAAAGTTCACAATTTATACGAATTTTCTTTGTGTTCGCAGATAAAAGGGTTTCTAAGCAAGGATCTGGTAAAAGTGGAAGAGGACGACGAAAAAATGCAAAATATTGTTGTAAATAGATGACTCTTTAATTTACTGGAAAAAATGTTCAAACCAAAGCAAATTTTGAAATTTTGTTAAAGTACAGGTGACGATCAGTGTTGCCAGAAGTTGTAAAAATGCTCAACGACAGAAAAAATGCTAAATCAGGCACTGCAAATGCAAAAAATAATAATCCACAATGTAGCTCGGACCGACGCAAATCGGGACAACGCAAGTCGGGGCTCTAGTGTATATTAATATGTCTAATGAAATTCGAATCGATGCATGTCTTTCACATGTTAGATGGTATCTTACGAAGCTATTGAATAATCATTTTCTAGTGTTGTTTAAATATACTTATGCCAGTAGTCGGTATTATATAGCGTACACAATTACGCCTCCAAATATACGTCCTAGACCCCCATGCATGTTTTCAACTGACTCTAATTTGAACTTTTCATATATTTTTACGTAAAATATTTCAGAGGTATTCTACAGTTTTCCACAATTTACACAAATTGTCTTAGTGTGCGTTGATAAAACGGTTTCTGAGGCAGGATCGGCTAAAAGTGGAACAGGACGAAGAAAATACAAAAATATCGATTTTTTATATTAGGGGAAAATATCTGAATTTTTTGAAGAATATTTGGAGGTGAAAAAACTTTGCCTTGTGGTACTTATCTTAGGTTCAAGAAAAAAATGACAAAAAATACGCACAAGGACCCCACATGTCATCACAAAAATGGCCTGATTTTTAAGTGTTGCCACGCCATGACTCAAAAACTGAACCTATGGCGACTCTGTCCTTCGGGATCTTTAATATACTCCCTACCCCCAAATCGGGAGGAAATTCGAAAATACCAGGGTGCTCAAAAATTCGCTCGCGAATGAATTAAAATACATTATTTTCGTTTCGTGCTCATTTTACTAATGAATTTATGGCTATAAATTCTTTACCAAACGAGCATTCGCCAAAGAATGTTCGAACACACATAACAAACGAGTGAGAGCACAAAACAACGATCGTTCGTTTCGTTTGGTGGTTGAAATTCTATCTGACATTTCTGACAATTCTCGCGAATGCTCAAAACAGCAACAACAATAACAACAAACGTTGTTATTCCACACATTTTCTGCTACACATACATTGATTCGTTGTGTGTGTGTGTTTTTTATGATATTTTTGTTTGTTGTTGTTTTTAATAGTGCTCGCCAGCATTCGCGAACATTTGTTTTTTTGAATGTTCTTCAGCAACAAACGCTCGCGAACGAACGAATCGACGAGGCTTGCAGCGAAATTTTATCGTTCGTGAATTTTTCGTAAATTGCAAATGCTTGTTCATTCATTGTAACTTTATCATTCGCGATAAATTGAAATTCGAATTCTCTCCGTGAACATTCGTGAGAAAGAGCATATTTTAATAATTTTTCGCACCCTGGAAAATACAGACACTTATTTTGGAAATTTGGGGCCTTCAGCATACCGAAAATGAGGCGTGGCCTTTATATGGAAGCTATGTGGGAACATGGGCTTATTATACAAGTTATGCTCTGCGAATAAGCTATTTTATTCACAAAGATTCTGGACTTCGGTTGGAAAATCAAAATTCGGTTTAGGACCATCAAAATACTTATAATGGGGTTGGCGATGTTTAGGCGATATTTATAATTTTTGTTACGGAGATTTACCACCCAATGTGAACTTAAATTATAGAATTAGTGCCAAATCGCTTGAAAATCCTGTCTGAAATCCTAAGTAAGTAAATTTGGGGTTAAAATTATATCGTGGATATTGGTAATTTTTAATAGGAAAGACTTGCCATCCAATGAGCACAAAAAATATATAAGAAGACACAATTCGGTTAAAAGACTGGACTCAAGTTCTCAAAATGCCAAAAGTTGTGGGCTACCCCGGGATATTTAATACTCCTTCTAGAGGTCTTCTGATGACAGAAAATCTTTGGACATGGTACCTTATATATGACCATATGACTTCTATAACATATGACCTTCTTTACGTCTTCTATAAATAGACGACATTTTACAGATATTTTGTAGATATATGATTTCTATTACAGAACTTTTAAACATAGAAGACAGAAGACCTTAAGCGGGTCTTTTATAGACCCAAGACCTTATGCAGGCATTCTATGTTAAAGTTAACAGTGCTCTATTAACATTTATAACACTTTGTTCAAATTTTGTTTTTATACCCTTCACCACACTGTGGTACAGGGTATTGTGTCTTTGTGCATATGTTTGTAACAGGCAAAAATCGGTCCAGATTTAGATATAGCTCCCATATATATTTTCGTCCGATTTAAGGTAAATGGGGCACCAAAGTCCCTATATTTGTTTCGATTTGCACGAAATTTGGCACAGCGTAATGATTTAGGTCTAGAATGATGTGTGTCAAGTTTCCTGAAAATCGGTCAAAATTTAGATGTAGCTCCCATATATAATTTCGTCCGAATAAGGTCTAGAAAGATGTGCGTTAAGTTTCCTGAAAATCGGTACAGATTTAGATATAGCTCCCATATATATTTTCGTCCGATTTAAGGTAAATGGGGCACCAAAGTCCCTATATTTGTTTCGATTTGCACGAAATTTGGCACAGCGTAATGATTTAGGTCTAGAATGAGGTGTGTTAAGTTTCCTGAAAATCGGTCAAAATTTAGATGTAGCTCCCATATATAATTTCGTCCGATTTCATGTAAATGTTGCACCAAAGTCCCTATATATCTTTCGATTTGCACGAAATCTGGTATAGCGTAATGAAGTAGGTTAAAATGATGTGTGTTAGGTGTCGTGAAAATCGGTTCAGATTTGGATATAGCTCCTCTATATTTTTTCTTCCGAGTGTATGTAAATTGTGCACCAAAGATCCAAAGTTTGTCTGATTGCCACACAATTTGGTACAAAGAACTGTAGTTTATGTAAATTAATAATATATATATATATATAATATAATTAATAATTAATATATATATAATATATATATATATATAGCAACTCTATATCTGACCAATTGAAAAATTTAGTATAGGTTGCAGCATGACATGTTTATGGATCCAATATCGTGTTTATGGTCCTTCAACGTCTGTTAGGATTCATCTGTTGAATATACCCAAAATGGGGAAGGGTATCATATAGTCGGCCCCGTCCGACTTTACTACTTTCCTTACTGGTTTTTTTATGGTTTATCTTTAATGGAACAAATATGTACTGTCTTATTGTTCAATATTTATTTCATTATTGTTGTTTATTTATACTTCCCCCAAAAAAATAGCAAATAAAGGTTAACGTAAAAAAGTGTATTTGCATTGCGTGACAAACTTTGATTTTTTTATTCCAAATGGATATGAACTAAATCGAGCATTGTCTAAACAATAGCAAAGCAATTAAGTTTGGAGGTGAAACCGGAGGAGAACGAGGGAATATAAAATCACCGGGGATATTAAAAGTTCGACACGAATGCGTGTTGATTTAAGACATACATTTAATAGAAACCATTTGAAAATATGTGTATTATTATTTTATGAAAAGCATTATTTTGAAAATGATATTAAAGGACAATTTACACAGGAACGAAAACATAATAAAAATGTATATACACACATATATACCCAATATTTATTTTTTTTTATTAATTTCTGAGAATTTCTAACTGCGTACACTTAATCACATTCTTTCCATTATCAGATTATCACACTTGGAATATATAAGTTTAATAGCCCCTTTCTCCAAATAGTTTTACTAAAACCTAATCAGGAAGCAAACAACTTGACGTAACATAAACATGAATCAGTTGATTCTCCATATTGGCCAGGCATGCTTTTTTTGTTGTAGTTGTTGTCGTCTTATCAAAAACTAAATATTTTGCGCGTTTTTCATCTATCAATCAATTGTTGAAAAAAAGAAACAAATCTATGAATGGCTTACAGAAACAAATTGTGCAACATTGCCTGATTATGATCGGCGGACCCATACGACCCCACATGTGGCTGTCGCTGCGACGACAGCTGTAATATAGAATTGAACGCAAAATTGATAAGCTAACAGCAAAAAACAAAAAATGCAAATTGATGGACCAATCAGTATAAGTAACAATTTATAGAACAATTGAAAACGTATCGGAAAAAATATTTTTATATGCCAGATTATTTCATGATGAAATTCCATTCTGTATTAAGAAATTGTAATATAAAATATTAAATATTATTGAATACAAAAAAAAAAAAAAATAACAAAAATATTTTTGTTTTTATTCAATATTTTATTATTTACAGAATGTGAAGAAAATAAAAATATTGTGACTTATTTATAGAATTCATTTTTTTACCGAAATTACCGCAATCGTTAATCTATTACGGGTTTTCGTTGGACAGAATATTGACTATAGGTTGACGAAAAAAAATTCAAATATCGATTTACTATATTAGGGGAACATATCTGAAATTTTTTGTAGACTATTTGGAGGTGAAAAAATCTTGCCTTGTGGTACTTAGCTTAGATTCCAGAAAATAATGACAAAAATACGCACAAGTACCCCACATGTCATCATAAAAATAGCTTGATCTTTAAGTGTTACCACGCCATGGCTCATAAACTTAAGCTATGGTGACTCTGTCCTTCGGGAAC